TTTTTTCAGGTGGCGTCACATACAGCCCGGAGAAGTAAGCTGTGGAACTGGGACGTAATTACTGTAGTAAGGTTTGTGAAAATTATCGACTTCCTTTCTTGGATGTAACTCCAAAGTGTAGAATAAAATAACTTGCACCATAGTAGAGTAGAGCTATAGTTGGATGAACTGTATGGTTTGAGATGACAGCGTAGATGCCATTCAAAATAGTGATATATTTTTAATCACACCATTGAAAGGTTAGTTTTAAAACTGTGGATTTGAAGTTAGTAGCTTTTAGAATCACAAAGTAAATTTTAGATAATTTAAAAATAATAATTCAAAATTTAGCAATAATTTTTGTTTTTGGTGTCATATCTTCATATTTTATTTATTTATTTATTTATTTATTTATTTATTTATTTATTTATTTATTTATTTATTTATTTATTTATTTATTTATTTATTTATTTATTTATTTGTTTATTTGTTTGTTTGTTTGTTCTTTCATTCATTCATCATGCATTCATTCATTCAATCATAGTATTTCATAGTATAATCTTTTTAGTATCTATTATTTATTCTGACATAGTGTGCGGTTATTCTCCTCTATTTCTAAATTGTTTTGTAGGTTTATCTAAGTGTACGTAGTCCTTATATTGTTAGTCCTCGTATTGCAAATGATGGTTGGCCTACAACTATGTTTATTGCACAACGAATACGCCAAATGTTGCCAGCATGCGTAGGTAACAATAAACTGGACAAGAGCAGTCCTTGTACTATATACAGCCCTGGATCAGCTCAAAGAACACAAGTAAGTGATATGTTTGCATTCTACTGTTGATGATAAGACTTGGTCAGCATCAGAAATGTTACCATATGGCCATTTGATGTTAATCCTACAGTAGATTGGAGAAATTTAACACCTTTAGATATATTTACCCTATGCTTGTAAAACTTCAAAGTTAGTTTATGGTTTGTCATTAGGGCTATAATTAAAACTATGATGAATTTATAGATGAAAATTTAAATTAAAAATATGAGCAGTTAAATTTAAAATATGAAAAACGAATGGTAAAGTAGGAGCATTAAAGTTTAAAATATGAGCATTTAAATTAAAAATATGAAAAACAAATGTTAAAATTTGAACATTTAAATTTAAAATATGAGAAATCTAAAATTGAACGTTAAACGATTAAGTTATTGCGATGGTTTGAACATAGCAGATTTGAATGTAGTAGAATTGAACATAGCAGATTTGAATGTAGTTGATTTGAACATAGCAAATTTGAATGTAGTAGATTTGAACATAGTAAATTTGAATGTAGTAGATTTGAACATAGCAAATTTGAATGTAGTAGATTTGAACATAGTAAATTTGAATGTATTAGATTTGAACATAACAGATTTGAATGTAGTTGATTTGAACATAGCAAATTTGAATGTAGTAGATGTGAACTAGCAAATTTGAATGTAGTAGATTTGAACATAGCCAATTTGTGTGTAGTAAATATGAACATAGCAAATTTGAATGTAGTAGATGTGAACTATCAAATTTGAATGTAGTAGATGTGAACTATCAAATTTGAATGTAGTAGATTTGAACCGCAAATTTGAATGTAGTAGATTTGAACCGCAAATTTGAATGTAGTAGATTTGAATGTAGTAGATTTGAACATAGCAGATTTGAACATTGTAGATTTGAATGTAGTAGATTTGAATGTAGTAGATTTGAACACAGCAGATTTGAACATTGTAGATTTGAATGTAGTAGATTTGAACATAGCAGATTTGAACATTGTAGATTTGAATGTAGTAGATTTGAACATAGCAGATTTGAACATTGTAGATTTGAATGTAGTAGATTTGAACATATCAGATTTGAACATATCAGATTTGAACATTGAAGATTTGAACATTGAAGATTTGAACATAACAGATTTGAACATTGTAGATTTGAATGTAGTAGATTTGAACCGCAAATTTGAATGTAGTAAATTTGAGCATAGCAGATTTGAACATTGTAGATTTGAATATAGTAGATTTGAACATAGCAGATTTGAACATTGTAGATTTGAATGTAGTAGATTTGAACATAGCAGATTTGAACATTGTAGATTTGAATGTAGTAGATTTGAACATAAAAAGTTGGTGGTGTTCTCTTGCACATACAGCAAATTGACCTTCAACTTTATGGTAAAAAAAATGGCTGAACATTGTTATGTGTTCTTCTGTGTAGTTTTTTCAGTTGACAGTAATATCATCTTTGCAGACAGCTGACATACACCATGCTTTGTGTAACATTGGTAGCCCATACATCTGATTTGAAAGTATCAGGCATTTATGCACTGTAAAATTATCTCATTGACCTAAAAATCCAAAACTGTGTGAAACCATGACAAAATTTAGACTTAGTAACCACACCATTAAGATAGAAACAGGTCGCCATAACAAGACTCCATTAAATAACAGAATATGCGACACAAATGAAATAGAGGTTGAGAAACAATTTGTGTTACCATGTCCTCAGTACTGCACCCAAAGAGATACATTATTCATTGAGGCTGAAAAAATTAATAAAGAATTTAAAAATAACAATAGTGAATACAAATTCATTTTTGTGATGAGTAACAAACACATGTCCATTTCCCTTTCGCAATTTCTAAAAATTATTTCTGTTTATTAGTCCCCGTTCAGGCGCAGCCGTTTTCCGCTTTCCATCTCCAACATTTTCTCAGAAATTCTGCAGCAGATATCACTGAAACTTGGCAGGTTGATGAACAATATTATTTTGACTATTTTTTTCCAAATCTGAAAATCCTAAGTAGGTCTTTTTCAAGATTTTCATCAAAAATTACCTCTCCCAGCAACATTGACAGAACAACTGAGCATGTTCAGAATAAATTGATTCGGTTAGATTCAGATTCAGATTCGTGAATTTATTGATTCCAGATTCACAAGTTTTACAACTGAGCATGCTCAGAATAAATTGATTTGGTTAGATTCAGATTCATGAATTTATTGATTCCGGATTCACAAGTTTTACAACTGAGCAGAATAAATTAATTTGGTTAGATTTTTATGCATAGAAAAATGTACAATATACTCATTATTACATGTTGCAACTCTGTTATGTCCTCGGAAAACACTGAATGCTCATTAATAATATAAACTGACTATTTGTTTGTGATTACCATATTTTCTATTGTCATGCAGAAATCTGCTGGGGTCATGGTAAATGATGAAATACTAGATCGTATTGCTTGCAACCATGTGAATGTTGTACCAGAAATAGCCAGGATAACTGAGACAAGTGTGGAGTTTATCGATGGCAGCGTTATTGATGACGTGGATGTTATCATCTTGGCTACCGGATACGAGATATCATATCCCATTATTGATGAAACATTAATTTTTGGTGTGTATCAAAAACAAGAATAGCGTTCTAGAAAAATGTGTTTGAACTTATTCCAGTGTTCCATTTTCTTTTATATGGGGAAAAACTATGCCATAAACATTTCTTGGTTTGACGTCATATCCATGCAAACACTTTTTATTTACTTTGAACACAGAAACATTATAGTGCATGTTAGAAATCAAAACCTATCACTGAATGCTTAGAAAAAGCGAAATGTTTTTCCTTTGCTCAGTTATTAAAATATTTATAAAAATACGTTATCACGAGAATACTGAAAAGTATACACTGAGGCAGCGAGGGATCTCATCTACCTCTGCCACAAGCCATTTATAAATCTATTTGAAATGCACTTTACTAATAGAGTAAACGTGGTATATTTCTTTTTGATTTTTTTTCAGATGAAACTGAAAAATTGAATCTTTATCGATACATACTGCCATTGGGATTGAAACATAACACGCTGATGATAATTGGAATTCTATTAAAGTTTATTCCAACAACATTTAATGTGCTAGAACTTCAATCACGTTGGAGTGCCAGACTATTAAGTGGACGTCTCAATCTTCCTAATATGAAGACCATGGTTAATGATATTCATACACGACCTCGTGTTGGGCGATTATATGATCCGGTAAGTTATGAATTGAAAACTTGAACATAAAATATTTTTTTCTGTAAAAACAATAAGAACACTGATTTTTAGTCCCCGTTCGAACACAGTCTGAAAACAGGGACATATGGATTGACCTATGTGTGTGTGTGTGTGTGTGTGTGTGTGTGTGTGTGGTAACAACGTTGTGATGAATTCAATTTAACTTTACATTGACTTGTGACGAGTTAGTTTTTGAATCTGCAGTAGTGAGCGAAGAGTGTGATGCGTTACGCTGACGGACACTCGGACATTTATTTTGATAATTCACGTTTGTATTTCATCAAAATTAGTACACTTCTGATCCAGAAAGGACAAGGATTCTGTTGGTACTGATATTTTGTGAATCCGATGTGAAGAGCCTATTTTACGGCTGTTTTCACATGTATTTTTATTAGTCCCCGTTCGGACGGAGTCCGAAAACGGGGACTTAAAGTCCGAAAACGGGGACTTATAATTCGGTCTCCGTCCATCCGTCCGTCCGTCCGGAGTCATATCTCAGAATCCCTTGGACCGATTCCGTTCATTCTTTGCATGTGCCTAGTACTTTATGTGGGACATATGCACATGCAGTGGTTTAGCGATTCGATTCAAAATGGCCGACTGGCAGCCATCTTGTTTTTTGAAAATGTTGTATTTTGGACATGCTTTGTCAGTTTTCATTCAAACTTGGTACATAGATTATACATGTTAGGATACATGTCCATGACGATTTATTTCACAATTGGATCAAAGATGGCCGACTGGCAGCCATCTTGTTTTTTGAAAATGTTGTATTTTGGACATGCTTTGTTAGTTTTCATTCAAATTTAGTACATAGATCATACATGTTAGGATACATGTCCCCAGCCGTCTGTGAGTTCCTGAGTCTGTCCGTCCGTGTGTCCGACCGTCAGTGCATCAGTCTGTCCAGAGTCATATTTCAGAATCCTGTAGACTGATTCCGTTCATTCTTTGCATGTGCATAGTACCTTATGTGGGACATATGCACATGCAGTGGTTCAGCGATTCGATTCAAAATGGTCGACTGGCAGCCATCTTGTTTTTTGAAAATGTTGTATTTTGGACATGCTTTGTCAGTTGTCATTCAAACTTGGTACATAGATTATACATGTTAGGATACATGTCCATGACGATTTATTTCGCAATTGGATCAAAGATGGTCGACTGGCAGGCATCTTGTTTTTTATTTTTTATGCGGTATCTTGGACGTGCTCTGTCAGTTTTTATTCAAATTTGGCACATACATGTACTTTATACATGTTAGGATGCAAGTCCATGACAATTTGTTTCAAAATCTGGTCAAGGATGGCCGATTGACAGCCAGGCTATTAGCCAGGAATTTGAAACTGCCAGTCCAAAACAATTCAACTTCATGAAAATGTAGATGGTTTTTAATATATTTTGGTAAAATTATCAAAGAACAATAGGAAAAAACACAAAAATGGGAAAAAGTTGCCAGTCAAAAATCAAAGTTGCCAGTCTGTTTGGTGGGTGGACTGGTGGCTGGCTAACACCCTGTTGACAGCCATCTGACATTTTGGCCTTACTACTATATTTCCACAATTTATGTACCATTTTCATTCGTATTTGGCACATACATCATACATATCAGTGTGTTTCATAATCAGATCAAAGATGGCCGAATAACGGCTGTTTTTATTTTTGGCCATATTACTACTACACGGAACACGTGTTTTGATGTAAATAAACAATCTGTTGTATACGCCACATGGAACTCAAGTTTCAAGGACACGCTCGCAACAACCCCTTCGCTTTAATATGACGAGCACAAAGAGGACTTTCAAAAATTTAATGGGGACTATGTCATTTTCAATGACTTGTGTTCCAACTATATTACTATAAACTAAACTATATATCTTAAATTTGATAACTAACTGGGACTATGCCATGCATGGCTTGTCAAAATCAGGTTTCAGTTGCATTACCCCCATTCAGACCAACACAAGTCAAAACATAATTTATTAAATGATTTTTCTAGATTTGCACCTGTTTCTCCCCTTGTCTCTTTGAATCTGTGAAATTTTATTGATAATTTGATGATGCTTCATGTACCCTATGTATTCATTCTTAATTTTTCATGACCTCGTGTTCAGAAAGTGCAGGAGGAAAAATTAAGCTCTTGGGCAGCATGGAGACAGTCAAACTGTCACTTCATCTAACTTATTCATGCACAGCTGTTTTATATACAAAGTTCTGAGTTTTGAATCTTGGCGTTGATTGTTAATGTTTCATTTTTTGAATGTTATACTCGTATGCTTTCTGTTTGAAAAAAATATTTGTTAGTTTTTTTCCAGGTTATGTGTAATGTTATACATATTGATTACATTTTCTTGCGGTTACATGACATTACATGATATGTTTATATTTTGTAGTTATTATGCACTTCTTATCAAGATGACATTGCAAGGGATATTGGTGTATTACCGACTCTCTGGAACCTACTCTTTCCAGACCCACGACTTATCTACGAATATTACATGGGGCCTGCTATCGGAGCATGGTATCGTCTTCGGGGTCCTGCTACATGGGATGGGGCTAAGCAGACCATCTTAAGCACCTGGGACAACACAAAATATCCACTTAATAAAACGACAAATGCTATAAAAAGTGAAAAATCGTTTCTCTTCAAGCAGAGTTTATTTCTTGCAGGTGGTCTTTGCTTTGTTTATCTGTTAGTTAATCGTGAGAAATCATTCCAATTAATTAATTGGATTGAACAGTTGTGTCCAAGAAACAAATAAACAGTTTAAAAGGTGATAAACACTGCTCTATGGCTCCTCTGATATCTCCAATATATATCTTGTTGCAGAATCAACTGTAGCTGAAAATTATGCATTGAATAAAGTTAAAGTTAATTATTAATAAAATTATGATTAATTATGATAAAGTTAATTATACACAAATGTATGTCTGATTGTTCATCATCATCATGTGTCTTATCGTCAGCTTTCAACTTTGGGGAAGTCTACTTAAAAACAGTCTTTCTGCTTACATACTTAAGAGGTAGAAAGCTTTTGGTGAATCTACATCAAATAATGATGAAGATACCTTCAGTTTTCTATTTTATAGTAAATATTTTTAGTAAAAAATACTATTTTCAAATTTTTTCTTGGAAAACCTCCAATGTGATTGATTTTATGTATGCTTAAAATATATATATACCTCAGCTTTCATCTATCTTATTTCTTCTTCTCGTTATGACAACTTTAAATTAGATAAATATTTTTCGATTTTTGTAGATCAAACAGCTGTGCTATACAATTGACAATGTGTTTATTTGAATGTATTTTATTTGTACTTGTTCAAAGTACAGGCTACAGTGACAGTTTCACAATCCGTGAAACAAATTTCAAAAACAAAAATTGCTGTTATTTTTATTACATAGTATAATTATGATACACATTAGTATAACAGAGGTATTATCACACTGGACTGCTATAATTAAATAAATATATTTCATAAATAAATAAATTGATAGCAGATAAGTATCTATTATGTATGTATTAAAACATGAAATCATTGCACATTTTTTCTGAAGTACGGTAGAAACTGACATTACAGGCTGCATAAAACTACCGTATTTGTTACATGATTCCCCAAACAGGCTTTACAATTTTAAACCATTGTTCAGAATATGTATGGTCTTCTATAGCCAAACTAGAAACCTACTGGACTCAATGGTAGAGTGAGAACTAGATAGCTGGTAAAGACAGTAGTCGCTTTTCTTTTCAGGCTGAATGTAGTGCAGACGAAACAATCCAGTAGATTCCCGTACTTTTTCTGTCACTGTCCTGAGTGTGTTAATCGGTGATAGGTATAGAAATAGCTTGGCTAATAATTTGCATAATAATCAGTTTTATTTTTTTTCATTATATATCTGTTTGCACAAATGCATCAAAACTTTAATTGGTATACTGGTATGCTAATAACTTTTAGTTAATCTTTGCATATTAATTAGCATACCAATTTAGTGTTTCCTCTATATCCCCCAAGTGAAAGAAAGATATCATAGAATATCCGCAATGTATCTACTAAATACGCTCTGTATTATCACTTAATAGTCAATCTTGGCACTGCAGGTCACACTAAGTGAGTATGTCTGTACTATGCAAGTCACACTCTGGATATACTCAAGAAGATAGTCACCAAATCCACGTAGAATATTAATGCAATGCCGACAAATCATAGCAGCACTAGTTTAGGTTCAGCATCATATCAGGAAAACCATTAGCAGCCGTAATCCCATCCCTACCAGACAACACGGCAATTAAGTCTGTATACACTGGATTTTCATGTGTGGATTCACTTAGTCGTCCAATACAATTTGAATCACACAGATTTCAATATACTTACAATAACATGAAAGTACATTACATAAGACAAAGATTCTTTGTGAACGTTGTACAACATCATTGCTGAGCAACGTACACACTAGTTTTCGCAACAGTATCTGGAAAGACAATGATTCAACCAAGGCATAGGCACGGTCTAACATCCATAGAATAAAGGGACACAGGAAATTTTGGCCTCCACCAAGGGCTCATGAAAAACAACTAGATATCACTAAGGCAAAGGCACTGTCCGACATCCTCACTATAGTAGGACATGGGCAATCTCTGGCCTCCTACCTGCAATCATGCAACATAACATAACACAATTTTACAATACCCCCCCCCATCATCAGTAAAGGTTTTGAATGTACGTACCTTCAAAACACGTACTGAACTATATTTACAAACACAATGCATGGCAACAGATCTGTGTCTCCATCTCACTCCAGGGAAATCTCAAGTACTTCGCTTTAGAAGCATTTCCATAACTTACACTTTATCATTGAGTGTTGCAATTCTGATCATCAGTAGATTCAAATACCACAGGTTCAGTCAACCTCCAATTATGATCATTTATACATTTGCTCACATTTCTCTTGTCTCTGACTCCAGCTTTGTTAGAAAATCCATAATATTGCGTAGGACGTCTAGTTATAGTAGATCTTCTAGGAATTATGTTAGGTTCATTAAAACAATTCATATTATCAGTTTCAACTCAATGTACAGTTCCATCGAACTGATGTTCAGCAATCTCATAGTTTTGTTTGTATACACTCTCATCTTTTTTCTGTTCAGATACAACCCCAATGATCTCTTGAACTTCTTCAGGTCCAACATTATCAGTTGCAGACATATTTTCAAGTTGGGTTTCATCACTTGACTTCTATCTTCCATGTCATCAGTCTTTTCCAGCTCAGCCATCTCAATGGTTTCATCATACGTATCATTTGTATTAATCTCAAAAGACTCATTTGGTATCTCAATTCCAAGTTTCATGGGGGTCATTTCGGTCATCACATCAGTGGATACTCTGTTCTCTTTGAAATGTTGACCAGTCTTTGCTATTTGGATTCAGTCCTTCTCTTGTAATATAATGATATTCATACTCAATAGCTGAGCTCAACGACTCTGAATCTCTCAGTGATGACCACTTTTACAGGTCGTCTTGAAGGCATCCTTTGTTTTAAAGCTTTTTCTGACACTTTTGGTACTATCACTGCATCAGGCTTAACTTTATCCAAGCATGGCTTCAACAAGTTCCTATGCACAGTACGTGTTCTACCTGTTGGATCACACTTTATAACATAAACTGGAATATCCGGACTTAGTCAACGAATAACTTGATATGGTGCTTCCTCCCAACGATCTTTGATCTTCACACTACAAGAACCCATTCACCTTCACCTAAACTCACATTGAACACTTTACTATCCCAACATTTCTTATTAACTGCACCAGCTTTACGTATGTTCTGTCCTACAACTTCATTGGCAAACTCTAATCGCTGTTTCAAATCAGTAACATATTGAGTTATAGTAATTTCTGATATATCATCAGCTTGTACACCCATTTGAACGTCTGGAGCTGTATGGGCTTCACTGCCAAACATGAAACAATAAGGTGAATACCCTGTAGTGTCATGATTGGTGCAATTGTAGGCATGTACCAATGGTGCTATGTAAGATTCTCAATCAGCTTTTTGGTTGTTTTTCCAATGTGCCTATCATGTTTAACAGTGTTCTGTTGGAACACTCGCACTGTCTATTTCCCTGTGGATGATAAGGTGTTGTGCGAGACTTCTCACTTCCTATGATCTGGCAAAATTCACGAATAACATCAGATTCAAAATTGAGCCCTTGATCTGAGTGCAGACGTTAAGGCATAATATAGTGCCCGATAAACCCATCATAATGATGTTTTCATGTCGTTCTGGTTCCCAGTTGGAATGGTCATGTACCTTCATTAGAAAGAGAGGGTCTGGGTTTTGGTCTTCGCGACAAGTGTCTGCATCATAGTTGTTACGACCAGGACGTTAGCTTATGTCAAGATTATAATTAGTCACGCCTGGCATATGCAACTGGTCTAAGTCTTTCTATACCACCAATTTCTTGCATTTGATACAAGGCTGCTCCAAGTCCCAATGCACTGGTATCAGTATGAAGTTCAAACGGTTTGGAGTAATTGGCATAGGCAAGCACTGGTGGAGTACTCAACATCCTAATGAATAGGTCAAATGCTTGTTGACACGCTGAAGTCCATTCAAAAGGTGGAGCTTTAGTCTTGCGTTCCTTCGTATTAGGGTAACCAGCAGTGAGACTATGTAGAGGTCTGGCTATGGTAGATTATCCAGGCACAAATCTACGATAGTACCCCGCAATCCAAGAAATGTCCTTACTTCATGCACATTGCAAGGTTTAGGCCATGTTCGTAAAGCTTCAGGCTTTTCATGATCCATCTCTACTCCTTTTTCAGACACTATATGTCCAAGGTATTTTACTTTATCCCTGAACAACTTGCACTTAGTATGCTTCAACTTAAGATCACACTATCTCAATCTGGTTAGGATCTTTTCAAGACGACCAAGGTGTTCTTCAAATGTACTAGCAAAGACAATGATGTCATCCCAATATGCTTGACAAATCTTCATATTATAGTCAACCAAACATCGCTCTACTGTACGCTGGCAACTTGCTCTGGCATTCATCAATCCAAATGGGGGTGCAGTCCATTAATTGAATTCAAAAACAAAATTTAAATTAAAAAACAAAAAATATAGAGAAATGGAAGTGTTAACTCGAAAACCCCTGTAATGGCGTTTCGCGTTCACCCCAAATTTCGCAAGTTTTTTATTATTAAAATTTAACAGAAAGAAAAATCACCACAGCTGAGTCAGTCTGGGTTATTTAGAGCAGTTTACATGTATTATTCCAGTAGCATACATCCGGGCATTTGTTGTGGTTTACCATTTTAAATATTCACATTTACTCATGATATTTGATTTACTGGTACATTCAACAAAAATATATGGATTATTTAGTGACATCACAAAACAGTTTGTAGTAATATTTATAATACTTACGGTTCCAAATATATTTATCTCAGAACAGAGAACAGCAACATACTGTTGACTTCCGACTTCATAAAAAAGTCTACAGCGTACCAACAAGCAAGATACAGGTAAATTTATGTTTAGATCTATATGTATTCATGGCAACAAGTAACCAGTGACATCAACAAAGGTGTACATCAACGAACAACAAATGTTCTGATTGGTCTAAAATCACTAGATTGATTTTAAAGATTGACAGTACTGAAATATCTTACTCGTACAACCTATGTTTACATCAATATCTGTATTATGTGGGCTTTATATTCACCAGAGCCCGGTAGTAGCCCTGTAAATTGTTTCACCCAAAAAACAGGTAAAATGTATAATCTGCAAAGCATGCTGGGAAATGCCATGGTCTCTGCTGTCAATCATTTTCGGTACATGTTTTTCCAAAAATATAATTGTCTCCCATCCAAAACCTACATGCACAAATAAAACAAACAAATTAAAAATATATATGAAGTATAATACTTTACCTTTCTGTCGATATATACTATGATATTTATAGTTTTGTTGCGCATTTGAAATGTGTTTGTCTCTAGTGTTTTACTTATTGTCTATTTAATATGGATTGTCTATGATTGTAGAATTTAAGTTAACAAATCACTAAATAGTCGGCCTTTTTACATCGAATTTTACGTTATCAGTATAAAGTATTCAAATGCATTCTGCTTGGGTATATTGAATAAAAAGAAAAAAACACGTCAAAAATCCGTTTTGGGTTGAGAGGTGTTAGAGCTTGAGTTATGTTCGATCATAATGTAGCTTATAATCAAGCAAACCAGGCTAAGTTCAGTCTGCATTTTACACATCAAGCATTGCACAATTTTGCCTTGTAATTCAGAGTGGACAATCAATTTTAACTTCCACTTTTTAGCTCCGCTATCGAAGCTTATTATATGAGTGATTGTCCGTCGTCGTCCGTCTCAATGTTTTACTTTTTCGACTTCTTCTTGAAAACTACAAGCCTGAATGCTTTGATACTTGGTGTATATGTACCTTGGGTAGACCTCTCTCAGGTTTGTTCAGTTCATGATGATATTTTCAATTGTCTAATTTTGGTGAATATTTTTGTCATTTTTGGTAAAAAGTGATGTTTTCAACTTCTTGTTAAAAACCGTAAGTCTGATTGCTTTGATATTACATATATAGGTACTACATGTGGACCGCTCTCAGATTTGTTCATTTTGTAATGTTACCATTAATTCTCTAATTTTAGTGAATATTTTTCTTATTTTTGGTAAAAAGTGATATTTTCGACTTCTTGTTGAAAACCGCAAGTCCGATTGCTACTACGTGTGGACATCTTTGAGATTTGTTAATTTCGTGGTGATATCTTCAATTATCTAATTTTGATGATCATTTTTGGTGAAAAGTGAAAGTTCCATTGCTTTGATACTATACATATTGTTCATTTTCTAATGATATCTTCTGTTCTTTAATTGTAATGTGCATTGCTAACAGCGGAGCTATCTTAGCCGACAGGCTGCTTGTTAAATATCTTTGGTAATTGTTGTGTTAAAAAAGTAAGCCAAATAAAGGTAAAAGTGGCTGGATTACAGGAAATGCTCTGCCTGTTGCCATGCTTCAAATGATGACATCACATATTTAAAGCGGGGGAGTCGTCACCGTCAGGTGGTTATAGCGTGTCATTGTTTACAAACAAGTGCCTACCCATGAGCCTTTGCGTTCTTAGCGTGTGTTGTTATCATCGCTTGGGACTCAATCCTAGCGCGTACTGTTTATCTTTAATCAGCGTTATCAATCTATATTTGTAGTTCAAAAGTTATATATAGAACTGTTGGAACCTACGTAAAAAAGGACAACATCCACCGTACCATTATTACGAACACCTACTTTAAATTAGTAAACTAAGGCGTATTAATAGAGCACTCCAGAAAATAATTTCCGAATGTCAGGTAACATATCACATTTCATAACTTTACAAACAAAGTTTTGATCTGTTATCTCTAAAGCTGTGAACACACCGTACTTTGACTTAAGAAGACTATATACCGGATCTGAACGCATGTGCAGCACCATGCGCGTGGAAGCAAATATCCAAGGTCCGTTTATCTTAAATGGATTACTGGTATTTACCGTGAAACATTATGGAAGACAAGAAGCGTATTCTAATTATTGGTGCAGGAGTGTCGGGATTGACTGCGATCAAGAGTTGTTTGGAAGAAGATCTGCAACCAGTTTGCTTCGAACGAGACAATCAGCTGGGTACGTCCCTCTTATCCAGTTCGTAATCTAATTCCGCCTGTGAAATGGGAATTGCTAAAATCGAAATAAGTTTCGGCTCAATAATATTTTGTCTTGATTTGCCGTCAGTTTAGAAAGCAAAGTTTATTGATTTAAAAATCTGTTTCGGAAGTTTAGCAGTCAAGTGATATTACTATTTTGATATCAAAACGTAAATTATTTAAAATACATTTCCAATTAAGAGTTTATCTAGATAACATATTTCGAAGTGTCTGGGAAAATACATAAAACATACCCGATATACACTAAATAGATATGATGCTAAGTATTAGTTTGACGTCATATATAAATTATCATCCCCACATCATCTTTCAAATGGTCAATTTTTAGGTGGCATTTGGTACTACACCGAAGACCTGAGACCCGGTCAATCGTCAGCTGCCTATAAAAGTATTATCTCCAACAACTCAAAGGAAACATTATGTTTCTCTGATTTTCCATTCCAAAAAGAAGATCCAGCATTAGTGACATATGACACAATTACTCAATATCTCGTCAATTACGCAAATCACTTTGGATTAGGCAAGTATATCTATTACAACAGAAATGTTGTCAAAGTTGAAATGTGTAAAGATTATGAAACTACTGGACAATGGGATGTCTCATACGTGGACGGTGGTAGTGGTGACGTCACGGTGGAAACATTTGACGGTATAATGGTGTGTAGCGGCGGTGGATTCGGAAAACCATACATTCATGCTATCTCCGGGCTGGATAAATTTAAAGGGATTACAATTCATGGAAATGCCTACAGGCAACCTGCTCCCTTTATCGGGAAAAAGGTCATAGTGGTTGGTGAGTAAATCATTTTGCTTATAATAATAAAAAATAAATAATTATAATAATAATAATTGTAAATTAAATCGTGTTTTGGTATTTGTGTTGTGTTGCATTACATTAAGTTTCAATCACACATTCCATATCTACTTTGTATATGATATTCTTTAAATAAACATAAAACTTTCACGGTCCATCTTTATTTACTATTCTTTGATATAATGATATAAGTTCCTGATCTCCTCGCTATAATAAACACGTGGGGATACACATTTGTTTATAGTGGAGAGTATATCAGGATAAATTATAAAGGTGTTTGGTATAACAGTGTATACTTGTTCATTGTTTTGTATATTGTATCGCCAGTAATCAACAAAATATTGATAGATGAATTTTAATATTTACTTCCACGACTGGCAGAACCATCCATCTACACAATGATACTATAGGCTACGTGCCACCAATTAGCCTTATCTTAAGCCAAAGTTTTTTTTTTCACTACGTTTTATTCGAAACGCGATGTATGAGGGCGTATTCCAATTACGTCAGCTGTTAGACTTGTGTGTGTAGCTTTGTTTATTGACCGGTGACCTGTGGATCTGGGCAATTCTAAATTAGACCCTTCCAAACTGCCTGCGTTTCTGAGAATATTGAGGGTAGAAAGACTTACAAATCCATGTGCTTTGTTTATATCCACTTTGTATGAGTTTGAGCTGACCAACATGTGTTTTACCGGCCACAACTATATTACATACATGTGGTTTCAACAAATTAAAACAATATTGTGATCTTTGTAACCCTTTTTCACCTAAACGCTAACATTGTCTTCTATGGATTTCTAATTAGTGGCGTGAGACCTACTATATATCTGTTACATTACGTGTATACCGCCCTCACACACATATCTGTTTATGTTAAAAGGTTCTTCTCACACTGCCGGTGATATAAGCTGTGAATTGGGACGTAATCAGTGTAGTAAGGTACGAGGCATATTTTTTGTTCGACAGACCTTATGTGGTGACTGATATATGCGCTGTTGAGAAATGGTTTGACGCCACTTATAGTTGGGTAGTCAATCTGATTTTTTATTTTCGGAAACCAGGTTGCTTTTCAAAATTTAAGCCATGTTTGTAAATGCTGTAAAACGCGCTGTGTTTCATGCAGGCTTTCCATACATAGAATTCAATACATCTCCGAGAAGTAATAATAAATTAAATATATAAAACTTAAACAGCAGTAAACAGACGTTCAATAACGATTAATACCACCAGTTATGTAATCGAATATACATTGCTCATGTACTGCATTGAACATAGCAACCAGATAATTCAATCTCGAGGGTTCTGATCAGAGCTGAACAGTTCATACATACATTTGATACGTGTGTGCATAATCAGCAACAGCTATTCAATTCTGGTCAACAAGAAACTTTTTAATTCTAGCCTAGCATACATGAATTTCTTTGTTTAGAATATGCACATGTCAGTGCTTTATCGCTAAGTAACTAAACAATTATTTCGTTTAGGGGGGTAGAACGATTTAGATGTTATGCCATGCTTTAACATTGTAATTTTTAAGATTATTTCCAAATTCTATAATGTAAGATATAATACTGTCTATGTCTGTCTTAGGTTTATCTCTGTGTACGTAGACCAGTTATGGTCATGACACGTATCTCACTTGATGGTGGCTGGAATCCGGACATGTTCCTAACACAACGACTACGACAAATGTTGCCTGCTTGGTTCAGTAATTATAAATTTAATACTTTTTACAGTACTGCAACACAAGTAAGTAATATGTTTGTGCACTAATAATAAAGACACTATGATTTGAAAATTGAATTGTTTTATTCTAGTGTGTATATCAACTGATATCAGGCATCATTCAAGACTCCCAAAAATATAGCAATTCTTGTAATATTCACATGTAATGAGTAACATAACTATTGCCTTGCAATTACCATATTCTCTGTTGTCATACAGGAATCACCTGGAACCATGGTAAATGATGAAATACTATATCGTATTGCTTGCAACCATGTGAATGTTGTACCAGAAATAGCAAGGATAACTGAGAAAAGTGTGGAGTTTATCGATGGCAGAGTTATTGATGACGTGGATGTTATCGTATTTGCTACCGGATACGAGATATCGTATCCTATTATTGACGAAGCATTAATCTTTGGTGAGTGACATCAAACACTCCTGTATTAAGATTTCAAAACTTAATGCATAACATGAATAGTGTCACTATATACATGAATAATGATATATGTTCCGACTTTCACTTTGCTATTTTGGGGTTGAACATTCCCCCATCCATCTTTTTTTCCCCAATTGCAGGGAAATGCATGTGAAATTGCTATGGTGACAATCTAATCGTGTCTGTTGCTGACAAAATTGTGTTAGAAACACATCAAACCCTGTTTTTTTCCGAATATACTTGATATTTAAAAAAAAATTCCCTGCTTTAGATTTATATAAACGGATGATTAGACTTTATCGAATTTAGAATTTATCGATTTTTGTATCAGATTTATGTATCTGTTTGTGTTAACCTACCATGTTAACTATTTATGTTTAAACAGAAAAATGTAAAACACGTGTCAATGAAAAACACTCTGAAAAACACGAATAAGAAGGTGCCTTGAACTGAATCACTTACAATATAATGACTCGCATGATCAATGAATGATTACGTATTCATGCTATTATGCTTGGGCAATGTGATAATAAATAGTGATTAGAACATACTAATAGAGAATCATATTCTAAAGGTAGAGTAGATACATGTTTGGTGCCCTGATAAATTCAGTAATCCAAAGCTCAAGACGACTAAGAGTGATTACCTGACATAATCTCAAAGTTTAGTATGTTTGCCACTCTCTGACTCGCAAAGATTTGGCTATAGTCCCAGGCATGTACGACCTAGAAATAGTGCCGTATGCGAGTACCAAGTTGCGAGTCGCAAGTAGCAAAATATGCCATATGCTAGTGGTAAAAACGGCATATGCGAGTGGAAAAATGTATCGTTTGCTAGTAGCAAAAAAGCCCTATGCCAGGGGTAATACAAAGGCTTGTAACGTTTGCTTATAATATAACAACGTACCGGTACGTTCAATTGTGTTTTATCACAGTAAAATCAAATATTTACCATGGTTATGAAATGATGTGTACATGGTTGGTTAAATGAAGACAATGGCAGGTTTCTAAAGTAGTCACACCTTGGAGAGGTGTTAAATTTGCCACGACCCAAGTGTTAACTAGCACACAATTCCATGATACATAGTATATAATAAAGAAATAAAGTGCATGTTGAGTGATAAGACCGCATGTTTACGAGACGTCACTCACACATGGAATGTATTTACACGCAACCCGGATCAAATTTGAATTGAAACAAAGAAGCGTTTGCCGTTGCTT